GATAAATTGACTTTTGTTGACTTTTCAGAGTTTTAATTAAAATCGAAGAGCATTTTTGAGGGAAATACGATTTTATCCTCCTGTGCAGCAATTTTTATCTAATTTTAAGAAAACGCGTATTTTTTCCAGATCAGCGCCAAATGCCAACTGTAGCGCCTAGCGCCAGCTTCGGCGCCTGGCGCTGATGTTGGCGCCTGGCGCCAATTGCCAGCGTTGGCGCTGATTCAGTTTTATGTGCGCCAGACTCTGTTATGATATTTTTATCTTTTTGGCTGATTTTTCTATAAATAACGTATTAAAAACTCCGTTTTGAATAACCAGTTTTCATCTACAATTCACCAACTCTCATCAAGATTTTCTTGATTACTCTCTCTCTCTCTCTTTCTAAACTAGCTTCTCTCAAATATAAAAATTCCGCATTCATTAGATCTAGATACACCTAGTCATATTCGAAGTTGCCTTCGCCCTAGACGTGAAAGGTTTAATTTCTGAGGGTTTGGTCCCAAATCTCTCTTTCAATTATTTAGTTTCACTACTAGAAAACAACTTAATTCCGACGGAACCGTTCTGACGGACAGGAAAGTTCCGTCGTAAATGGTATAATTTCCGACGGATTATAACCCGTTTTCGACGGAATTTAATTTTTTTTTTAAAAAACAAAAAGGAAAAAACCCCAAAACCCTAATACTAAAACGACGCTCCACCCCCCTCATTCACAATCCTCCTCTCTCCTCCCTTTTCTCTCTCCTCACGCTCTCTCTCTCCTCCTCCTCCTCCTTCTCTTCTCACGCTTTCTCTCTCCTCTCCTCCTCCTCCTTACTCTCTTCTCAAGCAAGCTCTCCTCCTTTTATGTCGCTTATGGTGATGTTAGTCAAATTAATGGTTTTTAAGGTCAAATTCGACCATGAAAATCCTGGATCTAGGGTTTTCGTGGTCGAATTTGGCCTTGTTAAACCAAGTTCGTGGTTAATTTCGAAGTTTTTTTTATCTTAAGGTACGTTCTAATATTTAATTTTGATTTTTTATTTAATTTTTGGATGATTTTCGGTGGTGGTGGATCTAAATTTGGGTGATTTTCGGTGGTTGCTGTGGTCTGGGTCGTATTATGGTGATTTTCGTGGTGGTTGTGGCTTGGTTAGTGTATTCGGTCAGGGTGGTGTGGGTTTTGGTGGGGATTTGTTAGGGGTGGGTAGTGTGGGCTCGGTTAGGGGTGGCTGGGTTTTGGGTTGGGTTTTGCGAAGTTTGGTGTTTTGGGGTTATTGTGTGCGTGTGGTGGTGTCGGTGTGAGTGTGGTGGTGTGTAGTGGGGTGGTGTCGGTGTGAGTGTGGTGGTGTGCAGTGGAGTGGTGTCGGTGCGAGTGTGGTGGTGTACGTCGGTGTGAGTGTGGCGGTGTGCAGTGGGGTGGTGTCGGTGCGAGTGTGGTGGTGTCGGTGCGAGTGGTGGTGTGTAGTGGGGTGGTGTCGGTGTGAGTGTGATGGTGTGCGGTGGGGGCTGGTTGGGTGGGCTGGTGGTAGCTGGTGGTGGGGGTTGGTGGTGCGAACTTTTTTTTTTGTTTTTTTTAATAAATTTCCGACGGAATTTCCGTCGGGAAATTCCGACGAAATCGGATTCCGTCGAAAATTTCCGACGGACTTTTCCAGACCAGAAAAACCTCTTTCGACGCTAAATTCCGTCGGAATTTCCGTCGGAAAAGTGTTTCCGACAGAATTTCCGTCGTAAAATGTCAATTTTCCTACAAATACTTTTCCGACGACACCTTCCGACGGAATTCCGTCGTAAACACGGTTTCTGACGGAAAACATGGTCTTTCCGACGGAATTTTTCCGTCGGAATTAAGCTGTTTTCTAGTAGTGTTTAATTGTTTTGTTTGTTATTTTCCTTGAAGTTACTAACGTGTGTATTTTGTTATTAGAAAGAGGTACGAGGCATCAAAGTAAGTACTTTAATGGTTTTTATTGATGTTATGATGTAGAAATCATGTTTAGATTGTTATTTTGATTCCTAGTATCATGTCTAGGGTAATTTTAATATCAAGTATGATTGTTACAATGTCTTTTATGTTCTTCCTAATATTTTTGATTGTTAGTATCATGTTAGGGTTAAAGATTTGATTTTTATTGCTTAGTGACATGCTAGGGTTTGTTATTAATCTTGTTAGTATCATGCCTAGGATCTTGCTATTATTATGTTTTAACATGATTATTATGATTATTATAATTGTTATTATGATGATTATTGTTTTGATTATTATGATTATAATTTTATGATCATGATTATAATTATTATTTATGATGATTATTATTATGTTTCTTGATTTATATTTGTTATTGCTTGATCACACCTTTTATGCATGTTTAAAGGGAATTTGTACTTGTAATCACGCTTAATAAGATAATTAATAATCTTGTTTAGGGTTAATATGATTATAATTCAAGTGATCGCCAATAATAGATTTATTTGTGCATTAATATTCAACCAACATGGATTAAACTGGTTTAGGGTTAATCCTATTGATTGCATGTTAGTCAGAAAGCGCACATGAATACGATCAGAATAAAGTAGAGGCCTATTATTAGGGCAGGTTCAATCTCTTTTAGGTTGAATTTGTATCTTCATCCCCGAACCCTTATTTGGTTCAAGACCTTATGGAGTTGACGATCTCCTGGATCGTTAGGGGGTGTAACCTTCACCTCGTGAACGGTTTACAAGTTCCTAAAACTTGTTGGTGACTCTTTTGCTCTATCTTCTTCCCTTTTGGACGCCACCGTACTTTAGTGTATGATCACAGTGCGGTTCAAGCTAGGGGGTTAACGCTTGAAATTATTCCCTACAGGTATTATTTCATAATTTTGATAAAAATCTAATTTTATAAAATTACAAATATTTTTGTGCAAGATGCATAATTCTTATTTATATTTATCCATTTTTTTTTTTTTAAAAATGTACTCCCTCCGTCTCCGAAAGAACAACCCTTTTAGATTGATTTCGCAGGTAATAAAAAAGTTAAATAAAAAAAAATAAAGGTATATTGGAATGATAGATTAAGATGGGGTTTGTAAAAAAGTAGAGAGATAAAGTATTAAAAATACATGAAAATACAAAATGTTATACGGGAAAACTAATTTTGCACAAATGTTGTTGTAAAATGGTGGGTAGTTTAATGCAAACTAGCCGTCTGGCCCGTGCAATGCACGTTTATTTATAGGTATACTATATAAATAATTATTTTTTAATATATTTATATTGGCAAATGAATAGTTTATAGAAGAGAAGAAGAGGTAAAAATTGAATGCAATTGTAGTAGAAATTAAACTAGAGGAAAGTGAACCAAACAACATTCAATAATTTATACATGTATTGAATTAAAGTTTTTTTTTCATATGAGAAAAGGGATTAAAAAAAGAAAGATTAATTGAAGTGACATGTGGCATTGGAGAAAAAAAATGAAATGAACACGTGGCATTATAAGAATGATGGTTTTTATTTTTAAATACAGTACTAAGTATAGATGAGTCAATCAAGTTAAGACTAAATTTACTCTAAGAGGGTCGAACATTTGGGTATGGAGGGAATACAATAATAAAAATAATAACCAAAGTAATAAATGAAAATTCTACTGTGTAAAAATCAATACATTTTTTTTTTTGAAAAGTAAGATACAAGTAGGAGTTTAGGCACGTCTTCTCACAAGACCGTGACCTAAACTGTCAAGAAGTAAGAAATAAGAAAATTTGCTATCTAAAAAAGGGTCGATATCTTGATGAGTCAGAGTGGAGTAGCCGAGAGAGGCAACATAGTCTGCTGCCTGATTTCCTTCCCAATAAATGTGATGCACCTGAAAACTCGAGACAGAATCAAAAATGGCCTTGACATCATCCATAAAGAGTTGTAGCTTCCAAGGACACCGAAACTGGCCTGCAAAATATTAATAATAGTTAGATTATCTCCTTTAATAAAAATCTGTGTAATATTAAAATCTCTAACAAGGAGGAGTCCATTGCGAAGGGCAATAGCTTCAGCAAGGAAGGCAGGGCAGGAGCCTAAATTATAAGTGCGGCTGGACACATGATTCCCCAGGTGATCACGAATAACAACACCTGCAGAAGCAGAAATTTGAGTAGCAGAACCGTCAAAATTAAGCTTACAATAACCGAGAGGGGGAGGAGACCATGATACAAAGAGAGGGGGGTAGAAGGCGGGGGAGGAGAAGGCGTTGTAACTGGAAAATGAATTGCATCCAGAAGAGAACAAGATTCCCATTCCTTAAACATGGAGAATGCCCGTAAGAATATAGTATGAATATTAGCAGAGGAGTTCTTAAATCAATACATAAAATTCATCCTTTATTACACTTCACTCCCCCACACTCATCAGTTTATCTTCTTATACCTGGGGCAAATTCTCCCCACAACTAAATTAAAAGTTGTTCTCACCATCAAATTCAACGCCACAATTTTTAGTAGTCTCCGAATTCGATACTCCCAAACATTCATTTCTTTAATAATGTCGATCAGTTACAAAATGCATCCCCAATTACTTTCATCTTTTAATTTCAGTTCGTTGATGTTTATTTCATTTTCATTTGATTTCAGTATGAATAATATACTCCGTATGTATTATGAATCTGAATCTCTCTCTTATTCCCTGTTTTGTATCAGCATTGTTGGTTCAGCCTTCCAAATTGAAGATATCGGATCAGGTGATCATCATTCGATCAAAAAATATATATCTATTTTCATCTTATGGGAACGTTCATCATTGGACAGTCCAACTACATGTGAATGAAGTTTTAAAATGTTAAACTGATTATTTCTTTCCGTTTGTTTTAAAATGACCGTTAAGCATCCTATGTACACGAAAAAGCTAAGGTTTACCCTTTATTTATAGACGGACATAGAGCTCGCATTTCTCACCAACCACAAAAAGAACATTGATCATTCTATACTTGTTAGCTTCATCATCCTTTCCCTGCTTTGTCTTCTTGAAAACTTTACTGTGACATGGATGTTGCTACTGCTCTCACTGTTGCTCAGACGTTGTTTGCGACGTTACAGTGTGCAGAAGTGCGAAAGCTATGCTCCGTCTTTAAATATGAATCTGAGTTTGAGAAGTTGCTCGAAACTGTTGAAATCATCAACAAGTGCCTCCTGGATGCCGATTCCAAGTGCCAGGAGCTCACAAATGAAGGCCAGTACTGGGTCCAGAACCTCAAGGATGCTGTCTATGATGCCGATGATCTGTTGGACGAATTCAACACCATTGCTTATCAGTTGAAAGGAATGCCTGGAGGTAAGATTATGAAGAAGGTACGCCGCTTCTTCTCCTCTAATAACCAACTCATATTTGCTTTTGATAAGTCAATTGAGATTAAGAAGCTTAGGGAGAAGTTGGATAGCTTGGCTAAAAAAACCGTAGGGATTTTGGGTTTAGTGAGTTGTATAAGCCTATGAAAACTAGAGAGGAAACTTGTTCTTATGTGTATGAATAGGATATAATTGGGAGAGATGCTGACAAGGAGGCCATAGTGAATTTGTTGTTAAAAAATGACTCGGAGAAAAATATTTCTTTTGTGACTATTGTAGGGATTGGGGGTTGGGAAAAACTGCACTTGCCCAACTTGTGTTCAATGATCATAGGATTAAAGAAGCATTCAAAGAAAATATGTATTGGGTTTGTGTGTCTTTGAATTTTGACCCGAAAGATATCCTAGGTAAGATGATTAGTATGGAGGAGCTTAAATTTGAGGATCTCCAGAGAAATGTCCGAAATCAGATAGAAGGGAAAAGGTACTTGCTTGTTTTAGATGATGTATGGTCTGAGAATGGTAGAAAATGGGATGAGCTTAGAAACTTCTTGATTTTAGGTGGAAAGGGAACTAGGATTATAGTGACTAGCCGCTCCAAAAAAGTGGCAGAAGCTATTGGGAAATTTCAAATACATGATTTACAAGGTCTCTCAAACGAGAAATCTTGGGAATTGTTTAAGAAAATATCACTTAAAGATAGGGAATACGAAACCGTCACTGACCTTGTTGAGATAGAAAGAGATATTTTGAAAAAATGTGCCAATGTGCCTCTCTCCATAAGGGTTATGGCCAGTTTGTTGCGTAATCAAGATAAAGCAGCTTGGCTATCGTTGAAAAGTAATGATTTGTCTAACATGTGTGATGGTGAGGGTGACATAATGCCAACATTGATGTTTAGCTATTATCACCTTGCTCCTGAGTTAAAAAGTTGTTTTTAGCTTTTGCTCACTCTTCCCTGAGGACTATGGCATTGATAAAACACAGTTGATTCGTCTCTGGATGGCACAAGGATATCTTGTTCCAAGTGCTAAAAATGAGAGCATGGAAGATGTCGGTGAAAGATATGTGTCAATTTTATTGCATAGATGTTTTTTCCAAGACATTTATAGGAACAGTTCTGGTGAAGTATATGCATTTAAAATGCATGATCTCTTGCATGAACTTGCTAGAAAAGTAGCAGCTAAAGAGTCATTGACATTGACAGCTTGTACAAATGATTTTGAAGGGAAAGCTCATCATCTATACATTGACAATAATGAAGGTCTGACTACCTGGTTTCGCTCAAATTATTGTCCAACTAAAACATTACGTACCTGTTATTTAAAGTATTTTGTATTCACAACTAGTGATGTGGATGCAATTATTTCAAATTGTAGTCGTTTAAGGGTATTATATTTGTGGACATCTTTGAGGATTGGAAACTTACCCGATACACTAGGTAAATTATTACACTTGAGGTACCTAGAAATTATAGATGTTAATTTGGAGATGCTCCATAAATCGATTACCAACCTTCATGTCAGATAATGTAAACTCCTTGATCAGAGTGATTTCCATTGATCAATATTTATAGGGTTATAATGAGAAACCTAATCATATTAGGTAACATAAGATATGTATAGATATCAAAGATAATCTTATACAAAATATATCCTAAACCTAAGATGAAAATATTCTATGGATATTCTCTATCACACCCCCGCGGTCGGAGCGGGAGAAAATCGGATGCTTAGACTGGATCTGCATCACGCATCGAGCGGTAAGGATAGTATGGTAACCCATGATCAAAAGGGAAGTAATAGACATGTGCCGATGATGACGATGAGAAGCAACAGCCACGACCTACGTAGAGTAGAGATAAGCACTGCTAGGCCGGAGGAGAAGGAGAAGAGTCGCACACAGGCTTGGGCTAAGTTGCAGATCCAGAGAAGAAGAAGTTAAGGGATCAAACCATCATCGGGGAGAAGACACTACACTACTACGTAAAATCACAGTTGAAGAAAAACAAATAAAATTGCGCAAGAAAAGATTAAATCCCACCGCTTGAAATTAATCAATTCTCAAAAGAGAAACCAGGTAGCAAGAATTAATACTCCACAAAGATTACAAGTGCTGCAACAATAAAAGGAGCAAACTTGATAGCAAAAGAGATGTGCAAAAGTTGACCTTATTGTGATATACCACCACCAAAACAAAATCTATGTGATTATGTGTAAAAAAAACCAATGAGGCAATGTAAGAATCATTGTTGGTCATGGGGAGGTGGAAATAGAGTGCGGCACATGGAGTAGGTTGGCAGATGTGGTTACTGCCAGTAGTGGGAGGCGGTAGTGTATGCGATTGCCAACAACGATGGAGGAGGCTTTCGCGATTGCTACTGTTGGTAGGAGGCGCAGGGTTACATAAAGATTCTAAAAAAAAACTTTGAGAAAAGAAAAAAAAATCTATATGTGTATTTGCGGAAGCATAAAAAAACTTAACTTTGTATATCCCGCCGGTGGGTTTAAAAAATTCTAACCCACCAGCAGGGTGAGAATTTTTTGTATATGATCCCAAGATCTCACCTAAGCTGTGATACCATGTCAGAGGACTATCACTCCCCGTCACATGAAAGGCCCTTTGGGCTTGAAATGTGGATGCAACACAGGCCCACCCATACCTGGCCTGTTGCGAATCAATTCCACTTTGAAGGAGAGGCGGATGAGATTCGAACCCGTGACCTTTGTGTCACGCTGGCTCCGATACCATGTTAGTGGACCAACTCAACCAAAAGCTTAGGGTGTTGAATTATGCTCTATCACTTCACAATCTACAAACATTAATATTGTATGATTGTGGGAAACTAAAGTTGTCCGAAGACATAGGCAAATTAGTAAATCTTAGGGTGTTGAATTTGCAGAAATCATTAACAATTGGAAACTTACCAGATACACTAGGTAAATTATTACACTTGCGGTACCTTAATCTATCAGAAAATGATGAATTGGAGATGCTCCCTAAATCGATCACCAAGCTTCATAATCTACAAACATTAGAATTGTTTAATTGCAGGAAATTAAAAGAGTTACCAGAGGACACAAGCAGATTAGTTAATCTTAGGGTGTTGGATATATATGGATGTGAACGCCTGATTTTTATGCCAGTAGAGATGGGTAAATTAACATATCTTAACACACTAACGATGTTTATGATGTGTGGGGATGGTGATGATTTGAAGCAAGATGAAAAAGGCAATCTCAGAGATTTGATAGCTCTTATCAATAATCTCAGGGGTTAAATATATGTTAAACATTATGCGAACTTAAACAATGTGCTAGTGAATGACCGCATGTTAGTAGATCTCAACTCTTTAAAGTTAAGGCTTAAACTTGAGTCTTATCAGAAAGAAGGTCAAGAGACATTGCTGGAGAGCCTGTTCTTAAATTCCCAATTTCATGAGTTGACATTGCGTAGTTACGGTGGTACCAAATTGCATAGTTGGGCGTCGGGGCTTGTGAGTATCCAGTTGATACGATGTAAGGAGTTGCAGTATCTACCATCACCGTTGAGTCAACTTTGCCATCTCAAGTATCTTCACATCCATAATTTGAAGAATGTGGAGTATATAGCGTTCGATGCACCATATCCATCAGCGAAATTCTTCCCATCTCTTGAGAAGTTAGCACTAGAACACATGCCATCATTAAAGGGATGGTGGAGGGATATAAGACGGATGGAGAAGGAATATGTTTTTATTCCGTCATTTCCTCATCTCTGTGAATTGAAAATTCAATATTGCGAGAGATTAACCTACATTCCTCCATGTCCATTTGTAAAAGACTTGCATCTTTATGGAGTCAATAAAGCACTGGCAGATTGTATGAAAGTAGGCAGAGTTCAAAGCAATTCAATCTCTTTGGAGAGTTTTGTTACAGACAATACATGCATTTTCAATTCTTTAGGTGAAGAGTTTGTGGGAAGCACTGTATATATCCTATTGGCTGAAATAGAAAACTTGGGAACAATTAGGGAGGTTATGGCCAATTCCGATGATATATTATAAGCCCAATTCCGATGAATGTTGAGGAAGTTATGGCCAAATTACTGAACTGGGTCCGGTTTGAGCCTTATATGCGGCCCAATGATCTAGAGGAGGGCCTAATATAGATTTATCATTCCTAATGCAATTAGGAATGGTTTTAGTCTTCTAGATTCTTCTAGAAGGTTCTTTTCATTTCTAATTCAATTAGCATTGATAAATTGACTTTTGATGACTTTTTAGAGTTTTAATAAGAGTGAAAGAATGTTTTTGAGGAAAATACAATTTTATCCTCCTGTACGGAAATTTCTATCTGATTTTAGAAAAATGCGTCAATAATTAAGTTAGCGCCAAACGCCAGCGCTAGCGCCTGGCGCTAATGTTAGCGTCTGGCGCTAACCTCCGTTTTACGCGTCAGAACTCTATTTTGATTTTTTTTTTTATCTTTTCGCTGATTTTCTCTATAAATAGCCTTCTAAAAACTCTATTTTCATTCACCAATTCTCTTCATTCACCAACTCTCATCAAGAAATTCTTGATTCTCTCTCTCTTTCTAGCCTAGCTTTTTACAAACACAATTCCTCATACATTATCACTAGACACACCTAGCATTGTTTGAAGTTGCCTTCGCCCTAGACGTGAAAGGTTTTAATTTCTGAGGGTTTGGTCCCAAATCTCCCTTTCAATTATTTAATTTAATTGTTTTATTATTTTCCTTGAAGTTACTAACGTGTGTATTTTGTTATTAGAAAGAGGTATGAGGCATCCAAGTAAGTACTTTAATGGTTTTTATTGATGTTATTATATAGAAATCATGCTTAGGTTGTTATTATGATTCCTAGTATCATGTTAGGATGTTTTCCTTAATTTGATGTTTAGGGTGACAACAATAAATTCCTAGTATCATGTCTAGGGTAACTTTATTATTAAGTATGATTTAAAAGTATGATGCCTTTTATGTTCTTCCTAATATTTATGATTGTTAGTATCATGTTAGGGTTAAAGCTTTGATTTTTATGCTTAGTGACATGCTAGGGTTTGTTATTAATCTTGTTAGTATCATGCCTAGGGTCTTGCTATTATTATGCTTTAACATGATTATGATTATTATAATTTTATAATGATGATTATTATTTTTATGATGATTATTATTATGTTGCTTGATGTAATTTTTTATTGTTATTGCTTGATCACACCTTTTATGCATGTTTAAAGGGAATTTGTACTTGTAATCACGCTTAATAAGATAATTAATAATCTTATTTAGGGTTAATTTGATTATAATTCAAGTGTTCGCCAATAATAGATTTATTTGTGCATTAATATTCAACCAACATAGATAAACAGGTTTAGGGTAATCCTATTGATTGCATGTTAGTCAGAAAGCGCACATGAATACTGTTTCGGGGTTTTCTGATGTCCTGCGGGAGAGTTACAATTCCGAGACTGGAACCGGACGCCTGTACCTGCAAAACAAACGGATGCTCCGGATGATTGGAGATCCGCCTCCGACGGTCAAGTTAGTACTTGATTAAGGAGTAATTAATGCGGAAATAAAAGTGATTGGGTCTCTCTAGGTGAGAGTGTTAAATGTGCGTAATCCCCCTTAATGAGGATTAAGGGAGGTATTTATAACCTTGGGAATCGTGCCAATCCTAGGTTTAGGTTGACATAGGGCTGATTGGGCTTCCCTTGGAAGTTGGGCCTAGGTGGCCGGTTTCTCCATTGGGCATGGAGGATGCCACGTGTCATGACATAATAGGTCCAGGGTGGACGAATAGGCGTGTGCCACGTGGCAAACCCTGCCAGTTCCAACTGGGGGACACTTGGCAGGACCTGATTGGCCCACATGGCGCATTCCGATTGGTGGGAGCAAAATCCCCTAATCATTTGCCCCTCACAGGTGGCACGTGACTGGTCACGTGTTACATGTGACAGGTGTCGCACTGTGACAGGCGACGACCTGCTACAGGTGACACTCGGCGAAAGGCCGAGAGATTCTCCCGCCCAAATTTTGAATTTTGGAAGTGACCCTTCGACTTCTCACTTCGCCTATATAAGGGGGTGTTGACTTCAGTCATTTTCACATTTGAGAACTTTTAGAGAGAACATTCGGACCCCTGAACTTGCTCTGACATTTCGGACCCTTTCTGCCTACCGCCTGCTCTGACAAGCCGACTACACAAGATTTCCAGAACTCCGTCAACTTCACTCGTTCAGGTAACCGTCGGTTCTCTTACTCTTAATTTTTTCTTTATTTTATTCTTTTTTGAAATGGCACCACGAAAGCACACGACACGACCTAGGTTAGTGATCAGCCGGTCACCGGGGACGGCTGAATCTAGGAATTGGAGTGCCGCCTGCCCTTTTCCGGACCCATCTTTGCCCTTTATACAAAGTCCGACTGTCTCTGTGTCTATGCAGAACATGATGGCCAGAACAAAAAGAACTGCTAGGATTTCGAACTCAGACTGCTCCTCCCACAGGGTGCCGATTAGTGAAACATCTGACCAGGCGCCAGATGTGGAAGTGAACCAAAGGGGCTTGAAAGCCGACAGTTCTGAGGGAGGAGTCAAAGTGACCCCTTCCAATTTTACAGTTGACAAGTCTACATTCTCTCCTGCTCCTTTTGAAGGAGAGGAGGCGGGCCCCTCTGGGAGAGGGGAGGAGTCGTCCTCTTCGGACTCGTCAGAGGACGAATCCGAGTCTAGCTCTTCTGGTCATGCTTCTCTGGACACAGAAGAGAAAAACAGCCGCCTACAAGAGGCGAGTCTTTCTCACGCAGTTGAGAAGGGGGACAATTGGGCGGAGCCATCCGCCTCTCACCGAGAGAAAAATACCCCCTACTACTGCACTGTCCCACGGGGCCGGATCACGGCCATGCAAGAGAAAGTGGGGAGCTTTATTGCGAACCACACAATGGGCCCCGGCTTTTTAGTTTTCGTGCCGGATCCAGAAGACACAGTCGTCTGGCCGGCTGGTACTAGTTATGATGGTGCCTGCTTTGGCTGCTACGAGGCGGCCATCAGGGCTGGGCTGCGCTTCCCACTACATCCGGCTGTTCAGCGGATCTTGGATGGGTATGAGTTGGGGTTATGGCAGTTAGCCCCAAACTCCTGGGTCAACGTACTCGGCTATGTGACCGGGTACGAACTGCACGGGGTAGAGCCAAACTTCGAGGCTTTCGCCCACATGAACTACCTCAGCCGGACCCCTAAGGCAGGCGGTACCGGCTGGTATCAATTGACGAGCCACAGAGGCTAACTCATGACAAGGGGTAAAGCAAACAAGTGGAAGGATTGGCGAAACACCTTCCTTATCATTGAAAGTTCAGACACAGAGCTGAACAAGCGCTTCAACAAGTGGAACAGGAATCCTCCTCTTCTTGCAGGAAGCCGCAGCATGCCGCCTGTTCCCCCCAAATCCAAGAAAGAGATCATGGATAAAGGACTCTTTAAAGTAGAGTCGAGGGTCGACTCCACTACAGGGGTACGAGAGCAAGTACCCCTGCACTGCGTCCCGAGCTTCAAATGGCTCTATGACGAGTACTTTCTGGCCGCCTGTGGCCTTAGCAGTCGGTGTTCAATAGGTAGCCGGCCTGTCGAATACTCTGTTTTTCCATGCATTACTGTTATGACTTTTTTTTATTTTTTTTATTAACTTTGCTATTTGTTTTTGCAGCGGACGCCATGAGCAAAATTACCGCCTCCAAGACTGCGGCGGCCATGTTGCGAGCCTCCATCATGCAACAATCCTCAACCGACTCCCCCAACAAGGGGGCGCCCTCGGTGAGCCCCGAACCCTTCACTCTCTTTTTTTTGGAGTTGGGTTTATGCATATACTGACCGAGTGTGTTTGTTTTTTTTTAGGCGGACACCCTAAGAGCCTCTTCTTCCCAACAGCCGGACTCCAAGACCCGGAGGACGACTGTTGCGAGCTCTCCTGGTTCTGCCAGGAAACATGCGGCGGCTGAGAAACAGCCGTCCATTCCTTCTAAAACTCCAATCGGGCCGCCTAGAAGTATGAAGTTGTCTTTGTGAATTTAGACTTGCTCCCTTCTTTACTAGGTCTAACTCGTTTGTTTATGATTGATGCAGCCGGCCCTCAGGAGCCGGACTTGGTCGAGGTGGCCAAGTCTATGATCAAAGCCGTTCCTCCAGCTGAAAGGGAGGCGGTCAGGGGTGTCGGCACCCTTGACCTAGACGGGATTGTAGGGGTCCTTGCTGAGGTATACTTAGCATATTTATGGTTATTTAAATTCCAGGACGCCTGTTTTTTGTTTGGAAACTGATGCCTGTTCCCTTTTACTTAGGCCCTGCTCCGAGTGAACGGCCTTCGCAAGCCGCTTGACAGGAAGAACAAAGAGGTAAAGGCTGCAAAAGCTATGGCCGCCTCTGACTGTGATAAGGCAATGTTTCAAATTGCCCAAAATGAGATTTTGACAATTGATATTCTTTATTATCAGGCGCAAGCTACTTTTGCCATCCGGGCTCAGTTAAAGGCGGCCCAGAAGAAAAATAATGAACTGGAGGCGACCATCAACAATCTCAAGGCCAAGCTGAGACCTCTTCGCCAAAAAATGTCCTCATACGACACCTTGGAGAAATCCTTGGCGCACGTTAAGGAACGCCTGGTGACCCAGGAGAAGAGTCTTACTCAGGAGCTCTCGGCAAAGGCCGAGCAAGAAAAGAAAGAGCTGGTCCGGGAGATGATGGAAGACTCTGCTCAAATCCAGAGCCTGACCTGGGGCCGTCTCTTCCCTAATGCCGACTTTTCCTCCTGGGAAAAAACGTACCGCCAGTGTTCTGATAGATATAATCAAGAGATCCTGGCGGCTGCTGAGGACGAGGCGTTGGAGGAGGAGGAGCCGGTAGTGGCGCTTGTGCCGCTTGGGGGTGATGCATCGAAGAAGGATGCAGCTGAAGTCGAGTCCAGCAAAAAGAGTGCTGACCAGGCGGCAGCTGCTATTATTGAAGATCTGCCCCCTTCTTAAGCTTTATGTCTTCTTTTCACGACCTGCGTGC